AAATGGCACTTATTATCATTTTCAAGTGAGGAAACAACGCCTCGCGTCAACCAGCGCTCTGCTCCAAGAGCCCGCTCTTTCCGTGCCACTCCTTCGCGGCTCCACCTCTACCCCGTCGCTGGCGTCGTCGGCCAACGGATCCTCTGCTGGGGTAGGTCAGTCGAGCGTCGGCGCCGGGTCGATGTCGGCGACCACGCCCCGCCGCCGTCAGCGTCGGCTCCGACGGCGACCTGCGTCTGCGCGTCCCGGGAGCCCCCGGACGGCGCCGCGGCCGGGCTCAGAGGACCGCCCGTCCGCCGGGGATGCCCAGAGATGGGTCCTCTCACGGGGACCCACCCGGAGATGGGTCCACACAGGGGGGACGACAGCTGAGCCCCGCGGGCTATGATGGGGAAAATTGGCGCAAACTTTAGAATGATTTGGAAAACTTTGGTGACGTCTCGTTATAGATTTGTTTTATTGCTGGGTGACAGGCGCAATCAGATATCAACTACAATGGAGATAGCTTTTGCAAAATGTATTGCGCGTAATAAACTCGAGAGCCGAGCTCGTCTTTACGAAATTTTACCACATTCTATATGGAAGGTAAAAAAATCGACATTAAAAAAGAAGCCCGAAAAATGCAAATCTACATAGTTCCCAAGTTAACACCAAGGTATAGGTATACGTGGTGCATTGCAAAATGCACGACACGTGACACGATACGACATTGCGAAATGCATACTCCTCACTGTTCATGCCATGGTTCATCCAGCTACTGGTGCAGGGCTTACAGAGCTCTGTTCCATCTTCCCCATCGCCGCGGTCGGCTCGTTGCTCCAGTACCCCAGTGTCGCAGCGTCAGCCCTGCTGCGTCGCACGCACCGTTCGGTCCCTAAATAAACACCCACGCCGGCGCGCGGCGCCCGGCGCCGCCCGGCCGGGCCTCCCCGAACCTTGACAGCACTGAACCAGTGCCGCTGCCGGCCGCCACCCGGCGCCAACCCTTCTAAATGCGGCGGCGGCGGCGGTGACGTCAGCGGGCGGGGGCGGCCGCCACCTGTTTACACCCTCCCGCGCACCCCGAAACGGGACCAAACGGGACCGAACGGGAACGGAACGGTACGCATAGCGGGGCCGACTGGTGCAGGTGTGTGCGTATGCAGAGCATTTGGAATTATATCTGCAACATGATGGGGTGTGCAGGCTGCACGGTTCCGCTAGTTGTGAACATTTCAGGTCCCGTGCATGGCTATCAATTTTCTATGAATTTCATCAGGAAATTCAGAGGCTGGTTTCCGGGTGCTCTGGTTACATTGTCACTTGCCCCAGTTACATAAAATTGCACACAGTGTTCCTGAGTTCCGGTAGGCTGTGATGAGGCGAGGGGTTTGTGTATCTTCACATCTCCACTTAGGGGGGGGGGGGGGCTGCTGTTGGACTGCGTTCGAGGTTGCGTCCGGTGGTCTAGTTCGGTGAACGTTCGGCAGCCTGTGCGACCACCGGCTGGCGGCAGAGCTGCTCCGGTGTCCGCGTGGCCCCACCGCCACGCCGCGCCGGCCCCACCGCCACTATTTGGGTTAGCGCTGGTCCACCGATAAAAGGGTGTTGACCTGCGCGTGTGCAGTGACGGAAATAGCGCGCGGCGGCAGAGGCGCCAGCTGACGGCGCCCATGGCGGGAGAGTGGCGCTCGCGCCCGGGGCACTGCGCGAATCTAGGCCGAGCGGAGGGAGAACAACACTGACCGGCTCCAGACCAGGCTGAGACGCGGTCACTCGGTCCACCAACTTTGATCTCACCCATGTTCGACCCGTTCACAGCCGGAAACCTCATATGTTTCCGATGCAAAAACACCGATTACAACTCCCATAACTCGGTTATAATGTGTGCCAAAATACGCAGTCCGTTTTTTGTGGAGTTCTCAGCCTCGTCTCTGGCACAGACCGGCTGAATCTCGGGCCGTGTCTTTTCTCAATCTCACCCTCTCTGAATCAGCCCCCATCCATCAGTCGTGTTTTACCTCGGTCGGCGCGGGGCGGGCATCAAAGGGGAGCCGCCCTGGCGAGCTGCAGTCGCCGCCGCCGCCGCCTAGTAGCCGCCCAGGAGCCGCTAACTCACCAGCCGCCCAGCCGCCTCACGAGCAGCTGCGTCTGATCAGACGCCTCTTCCGGGCACCCGGTGGTGTCGGCCAGGGGAGTAAACAACGGGAGGGGGGGGGGGGGCGAACGGGGAAATCGGTCCGCTCTCCTTCCCTTTCCATACTGCCGTTACTACCGCCGCCGCCGGCACGGGAGCCGTTTCAGAGACGGCGCAACGGTCGCACATCTTGATGGAGCGGCGTATTAAACCCTTTGACACGACCGAGCGACAAACACCGTCTTGAGTGGTAAACACCGTCTAACGGCCGACCGATCGACGGTGGCGAGCGGACGAAATTTAAATGCGTCATGAGCGGCGCGGATCGAGACAAAGCGGCGGAACGAGCCGTGCGGAACCGGAGACGCGGACGAGGCGCGCCGCGGAAGCCGCAATGCGCCGTCAGTGCCGCAATGCGACATAGCTGGGGTGATTATCGTCAGTGGTCTGCCGGCCGCGTGCCTGGCACTTCAGCCGTGAACGGGTTACCGTGCGGGCCGGCCGCGGGGAGGGGTTGGGTAGGACCGGGGAGAGTAGGGAGCCCACGTGTGGGGAGATTTGAATGGTGCAGGCGTGCTGGGTACGGGTGAAAACAGGACAATGTTTTCGTCGTTCGAGCCGAGAATTTAAATGAATGACACCCATGGAATTAAATGGGTCACAAAATAAAGGATATAAATGCATGCGTATTGTGTAACAATGCATTGTAACATTGTGGGCCCGCTTAGGCGATCATGCACACCATGGCACCTACAGGTCTTACTCCAATTAACAATGCACTGTACTTGTGTGCTTAGTGGCACGCACACACAGACGCCTGCCATAATTCCACCTACCCCTTAGTCTGCAGAAGCTCACAGTTACTGCACTATGCCGGCGCAGTGCGCTGGCGAGGCCACGGGGAGCGGTAGGGGTGTGTGCAGGAGCAGGCTTTGTTCCATCAAACAATAGGAACTGTGTCAGAATGCAACGGGGTGCGTACAATGGGCGCCGCTGCTAACCCATTTTGAATTATGGACAGGCCGTGTCCTGGTCTATGCATAGATCAATTCCATGAAACGCAGAAATTGAAAATGGTATTAAACACGGCTACATTCCTCACATATTCCGAACTACAATGTTGATTTAACGCATTAGAATACTCCTGCCCTTACATTTACATAGGTATATTTCATGTATTTTATTCTCAACAATGAATGGTGGATTTATTTGAAAACGTAATTAATAGATGTTTAGATTATAATTTAATAGTCATTAACATTCTTATTGAACTTATTTCCCCAAAATACGCATTATGCAATAGTTGCAATTGCAAAGTCAACCTTATCCTGCGTCCTCTTCACTTCAGCACATGTCTGATGTCGTCATGCCTACTGGTTGCGTTCGCCATGGGCCCGGTGTTCCCGTATCGATATTGATTTCCCTCTCCTCCCAGCCCGCTTCAGACCGCGGAAATCCCTTTATCGCGGCCTCCTCCCCTCGGCCGTCGTCTTCCCGTCCCCTCCTCCCCTCCCCTCCCTCTTCTCCCCTTCCCCCGCGAGCAGATGCGCGTCCGTTAGGCGGTCGTCGCGCGCGCATTGTTGTTGTTTACCGGGCGCACCCCTTCATGGCACCCTTGCTCCAGTTCTGCGCTCCTTTCGCTCCGGGCCGGCGGCGTCTCGGCCGCATATTCAAACGGAGGAGCGCGCGGGGCCAGCGGCCCGACCGAGCGGGTTCATTGTATTCCCCGGCATCCGAACCCAAAATAACCGGTTCAGAGACCCTCTGGGCAGCGGACTCCAAAAGGCTGCGGAAGGGATGGCGTCGCTGAACCCGTCCCGCTCACCCTTCGCCGTCCCTCCCCCGTTCCCCCGCCCCACCGGCCGGCCGCCGCTCGCCGCGCGGCCGTCGCCCGCTCGGCCGGCCGCTCCGAAGGCCGGCCTTCGTCGCCGCTCGGGCGGCGTGGTCACCGCCGTCCTCTCACCCCGCTCTGCATACACGGCAGCCCTTTGGTACCGCCGCCGGCCCTCCCAGCCCCCCGGGCACGCGCCAGAGAGAACGGCCGACTCTCGGTTTCAACCCGTTCGCCGGGGCGGGGGCGGGGGCGGCGCGGAAGCGGTGTAGATATGGGTCAGCAGAGCGCCCGGCCCGGACGGGTGAAGGACGGAAGGGTTGGCCGCGCGAGAGCGTAAACAAAGGGTGAATGGCACCGGGCAAGGTTACGCGACGAGAGTGAAACCGACCTCGACTGGCGGCGGGGCGCGCGCGCGCGTGAACCGGTTAGGCTTTAAATGGGTACGGCCGGACGGGTTGTAGAGAGGGTTGAATGGATAGTAGGGGCTGAGGAATGCGGTAGGGTAACGGGTAGGCTAGCAGATGAATGGGTGATATATTGACTGTTTGTTGACGACTAATGGAACATGATACGTGCTACTGAACTGTTTGGGAATTATTTGGATAAAGTCGATTATAACAATGAACAATAATACACATTTTGAATATGCATTAAGCTCATTATCAATTAATTAACAGGTAATTAAACACTAAAATAGCTGTGACAAAGTTATTCCCCAGCAGGCGCAAAAGCTGGCTTGCTGTGACACTATTGTTTTGGCTATAATCTGCACACTTATCTTTGGTCTTCCATACCAATAGGTAAACTGTCTTTCAAGTTTCAACCACGCCAAATAAAAGCCACCATCTGGAAAACAGCAATCATACATATCGAAGGAACTCTTTGTTAGAACGGCAAAAATCCAGAAATCGTTATATCAATGAGCATGCCTCACATGATATGAACACAAAGCTGTGACGTACAAATGCTACGTGCGTCTGACCGTCTGTGACTGACCGTCTGTGACTTGCTTCTTGGATGTGCTTTGACCATGGCTATTATTTTCTTCAGGTGGACGAAACTCATCTGAATCAAACTCAACACGGACCGGTGAGTATCTAACTGCAACTGCCGCCATACTAACATCTCACAAACCCTGCTTTTATATCCTCGGTGTGTTACTGAGTCACCGTTTTTGAATTCAAAGGGCCTTTATATCATACCTTCTTTATTTATGACCTCACTGCTGTGGCTCAAAACGCATAACGCCATATCGGCGTGGCCATAAAATCCAATGATGAGTTTCTTTTACTGTTCTCGATTGTCCTTTCATGTTCACTATAGGTAACTCCTTTTATTCGGTCGATGCTGTCAAAGCTGAGTGCTGTGTCTATGCGGTGTGTTGTACGGTGGGATGGCTATAGCCGACTCCGGACTGAGATCCAGCTCAGTCAGCGGCCAGCGTGTTTGGTCTCAGGGCCCAGGAAGCAGGCAGGCACGTCCGGTCGCCGCCGGCCTGGCCCAACCGCGGCCGCCGCCGGCGACGCGCGCACTGCCATCTGTTGAGAGACTCTGACAACACCTCTCGGGCAGCGGCCGGCCGCACAGTTTGGGATGCTCGGGCCAGCGCCGCCGATAATGGCGCGATGGTTTGAAAAGAAACTGGTCTCTAGCGACGGCTGTGAGGCTGAGAAATCCTAAGACGGTGTTTCTGCTTTTTTCGGGTACTTTTTCCAACAGGCCCTGATCTCAGTACCTACCAGTAAATTAGTTGGTTGGACAGATAGATAGGTAGGTACTGAATTTTAATTAAAATTGGTTATGAGATCGTTTCGACTTCGAGATAGTTTCTGAACCCACAAGACAGCAGAAAACTGCAGTTCAAAACTTAACGAATGACCAATTTTGCTATGAATATGCGTGCCTCAATGGCAGTTTGCTCATAATAAAAGAAAACTTAGCACACATCCCTCGTTTCACAATAACCCATTTTGATTATCCCTGATCCATCAAAAACATATTGTTAAGACATCGACCTCTTAAAACTCACTCTCTAATGATAGTGGGCTTTCACGTGATCGAGTCTTTCGCCTTTTTACTTCCTGTCTACTCGAAACTTATAGCACAGGACAGCATATGCACGGTAGAGCCGCCACCGCCGGCCGGTCGGATCCCTCCCGTTCTGGTCGCCACCGCCGCCGCTGCCGCCGCGGCCCCACCGTGTCGGACCGCCGAAAATCCATACCCTCCACCCCCGCGCCATGCGTCAGCTCACGCGGCCGGCAAAAAAGGCCGACTTGTTTGGCCTGATTGAGATCGGGTCGATAGTATTCACGGTCGTCACTGGGCTGGCTTGGAGCGGTTCCGCCACCGCCGCCCGGCCCGCACGCGGCGCGCCGCCTCCCAAAGGCTTAACCGATCAAAAGCGGCACAATGGGCTCGCCGGCGCCTCGCTACCTGTCGTCAGGTGAATGAAGAAGGGGTGCCGGGCCGCGCCGAGGTGCGGGGAGGCTCGCACGCGCCGCACACGAGCGATCAAAACGGGGCCGGGCCGAGCGGCAATTTTCCGTGATATCAAATTCAGTGGGGTGGCCCGCAGCGTCCTCAATGGCAGTGATTACACGAGAGGGTTAATATTGGCACACTGTTGTGAAAGGAAATTGGACGCGCGTGCGGGATGCAAGGGGTGCGCGTGAAAATCCCCAGGGAAAACGGAGCTTAGTGGAAGGCTTGAAAGAGCGGGTTGAGGAATTCACAAAAACACGGCATTTTCCACGCGTCAGGGGTGTGATCAAAGGGGAAGAAAGAAGCCGTCCATGGATTGAAACTGCTACTTTGGCGCCGGCTGCCGGGTGGCCTATTGTTGGCGCCACCTCCAGTGACAGCCCGCACGCGCCGGGACCTTGGGCGGTAGAGGAAAAGAGAAAGGATGGCGACTATGAAACGAGAGGGTTAGGATCTTCAAGACGGGTGGGAAGTGGGCCAACGGATAGACGGCAGGCGTAGGTTTTGAACCCTTTCCTCATTGTTTGCTCTTTCAACTCCTTTGGGACGCATCTATGATAATGAAAATATGATTGCTGATTTTACATTAAGAAATAAAACGCAAAACACATAAGCTCGCTCATTAGGTAGTACCTTTCCGATACATTTAGTGGCCAGAAGCCAAAGTTCAAATGAGTAGATAAAAAAAGCTTTTTGGTTTTCTATTCAACATTTTCTTTTCTGCTTATGTCCATGGGCGCAGCATTGCCAGTAACCGCACATCGACCACTGTTTTTTATCACATAAGGGTTAGAAATTACTTCCTTCCCGTGCTGACTGGTCGCTCCCCACGGATATATATTATTCATGCCGCCGGTGTGCGATAGTCGTGTTTTATCGCCCGGTCCCCTCCCCACCGCGCCCGGCCCGTGCCCCCGGGCGCTCCCCAGGGCGGGGGCGGCGGCGGCGGGGGCGGCGGCGGTCGCTGAAGGCTGACATCGCGATAAAGAGTTATCGACCCGCGTCACCGGTATGAATATGGGTCCGACGCGCGGTGTGTCGAGGTGTGGTGAGGTGCGGCGCGCTTACCCGGCTGCCATCGATCCGGGCTGGTTGGGCGCCGCGCCGGGGCGCCGCGGGGCGCCGGTCACCCGCCCGGAGGGCGCCCCGGCACGGTTCGTCGGAAGGTCATCTCAGGCTCAAAAGAAACGATATATACCATTCGAAAGCTGACGTTGAGCTGAATCCAAAAATGTAATTTTTATCAAAATCGATCGATGGCCTTTTTTGAAAATTGCGTTTTTGTAAAAACTTTATAATTTTTTATTTAATGGGCTGTCCCGGACATTCTTGAAAACATATACATGTATTTTTGAGTTCCAGTGAAAGCTGAACGCCAAAAGAACAATATTTAGCGAAGCAATATTTCCAAACATTAATATGCGTCTCCCTTAGCCGACAATAAGGCGCAATTACACAGCTCAGTGTCACGATGGACCAAAGTCGGCCACACAGAAGCGCGAAATGACACTTATCGACTCGCAGACCCGGCGCTCTCGGCCCGCCTGACCGGCCACGGCAAGGAGGTTCGGCTGTCGTTCTACCAAACGGGCGTCATATTTGTTAGTTTAACGGTTAAAGTCGGTACTTGAGTTATTCAGGATACATGAGTCGAAGATTCACTGCTCTGTCATCTTCACATCATGCATTAATTTGCATTTGTTCATGTCTACTTTGCTCAATTGAGCCTGGTATCATGCCCATATTAGGAAAATCGGTCGCGCTGAAATGTCAGAGGTTGTACCGGCCTCAGCTCGGGTGGAGTGGTATAGCGCCCGGTGGGGCAGGGTAACCTTTGACCGGTCGCACGGCCGAGCAGCTGTCACCAGTACAGCCTCTGACAGTGAAACCCCGCTCACTTCCCCTGCGCGGGCACTGAGCGCAGCTGGATGGAACAAAACATGTGTAAGAAAAATGTAAATCAAAGCATGTTGTAAATCAAGCAGAACAATGCATTTTCGTCACAGGTATCCTGAATAATTTTAATAGCGATGTGGACAGTTAAACTGACAAATATGACATTTGTTTAGTAGAACGAGAGCCGAACGTTCTTTCCGTGGCCGGTCAGGCGGGCCGAGAGCGCCGGGTCTGCGAGTCGATAAGTGTCATTTCGCGCTTCTGTGTGGCCGACTTTGGTCCATTGTGACACTGAGCTGTGTAATTGCGCCTTATTGTCGGCTGTGGGAGACGCATATTAATGTTTTGAAATATTGCTTCGCTAAATATTGTTCTTTTGGCGTTCAGCTTTCACTGGAACTCAAAAATACATGTTTATGTTTTCAAGAATGTTCGGGACAGCCCATTGAATAAAAAAATATAAAGTTTTTACAAAAACGCAATTTTCAAAAAAGGCCATCGATCGATTTTGATAAAAATTACATTTTTGGATTCAGCTCACCGTCAGCTTTCGAATGGTATATATAGTTTCTTTTGAGCCTGAGATGACCTTCCGACGAACCGTGCCGGGGTGGAGACACCCCTAGGCCACACAGCGCACTGCGCAGACTGCTACAGGACTGACGGCTTCGGTATCGGTGCCTTCAGTCCTGCTAGGAGAACGGATGTCGCGATATTGAGTGGTAGCGTGGCTCCCTTCCGAGCAGTCAAGCTACCCATGCGCATAAGAAAAGTAAGCATCAGGAGTTTAAGCGAAAGGAGAACGCAAAAGGAATTGATGATTTTTTTTTCTTGTTTCTATGACGCTCAATTTTACAGATCCAGATGACATTTCATGACAGACGTTTTCATGTCGGTCGATACAGTACCTATATACCTACAAAACAGATTCGCAATCAAGGATGTTTTTCATTCAGCATGTAAGACGTTAAGATAAAGGATGATTTGTTCAGCTACCATTCACTGTTCGATCAGGTAGCGGAAAATATTAAAATCATTCATCGTGAACCCGTCTGATTGATTACCCGTTGTTCGGAGCACGGAAAGCACCGTGGCCCACCGAATAGCGTGGCGGCGCGATCGGCTGCCCGGCCAGCTGCCAATTCGGGCGACTCCACCGTACTGGCAACCCCAAAATTGGCCTTTATTAAATCCTTCTTCGATCAGCCGCTTAATCGCATCAGTCTATCGAGCCGTGATTAAAGCTGGTTATTTCCACGAACAAAAAAGGTTATTAGTTTCGGCCTATGTGCAGTATGGAAGCTCTGATTATTGGGACGTATTTAAAGCAGACTCCTTAATGAGCACATTTAAATGGCTGATAGTTTATGTTAATCGTCATTCGGTCTATGACGTCAAAACTATTAAAGCGCTTTCTCATTTCGGCAAGTCAGCGTGGTGAAGGATGCATTAGCGTGGGTGGCTAACCCCTTTTGCACCATCATGCAACCACAATTAGGTAAAGATATGAATCAGCTAAATAAATGTCAGACATTAGGGTACCGAATTCGACGGAATAATTAACGACTGCACAATTGATAAAAGGTCATTAACAACTTCCACTTACTGAAAGGACACACCCGTTAACGGGCATGCCTACACGAGGGTTTCATATATTGAATGTTCTTCTATGATTTATCGAGAGTAGTACGCTTAGAATGTGCGAATAA